CCCCCCCAGGGGTCAGAGGGGGCAAAATTGCAAGCTTCTGGGACTCTTCTGAAGGTTCCCAAGCCTCAAAAGAGTCCCAGAAGGTGGCAATTTTGCCCCCTCTGGCCCGGCAGGGAGGGAGGAAGGGTGAGCCTCCAAAGGGTCCTAGGGTGTGTTCCATAAGATGGACTTCTCCATAAGGCTCACCAATTTTCAGGAGAAGAAAACAAATTATTTTTTCCTGTTTTCTTCTCCTAAAAAATTGGTGCGTCTTGTGGAGAGGTGCATCTTATGGTGCGAAAAATATGGTACCTCTTCCAGACAACTGTTCAAGGCACAGATAAAGATAAAAGCCCTGTCCTTTTTTTATATGTGGCCTTCCTACCAATGGCACAAACATGTCTCCTTTTTAAAAAAACTTAATTGAGCATTCTTCATAATAACACGTTAATGGACTATGTGGTGTCAGATCAGAGCCTGTGACTACCTTTTCATTTTTAAAAAGTGGTAGAGTTAAGTACTGTTTTCACTCCACCCTAACTACTCATCCAGGAGACTCTTATATTAAAGGCATCAGGCTCCTTAAAAGTTTTCACCATCCTGGACAGGGAGAAGGTTGTAGGTTTGCATACCACAGTTAGCTGTTAGGGGTCATCTTCTTTTCAACTTATAGCCCTCAGTATTCTGTAGCTTCTGGAGGCTATTCAGTTCATATTTGCCTGTTATTTGCCCCACTTTTGTTTTCTTTTAATTTTAGACAGATTTTTCTGCGTCATGAGAAACCACAACAGTGTGCATCAATATCCTTGCTGAGTGATAAGCATACATTCATTATTAGGAGGCATAATGATAAAGACAGTGATAGATGTGCCATTTAAAGAGAGGAAGAGACACGTTTTATTCCCTAGAACACTTTTCTCCAGAATGATGATATAACACATATTCATCTTCTTACTTCTATGACTAGCAGGAGAGACAGATTCAAACAGTGACACCTTGATGACTGTTCAAAATATTGTGTACGAAGATAGAATTATGAATAGGCTATCCCTAGTATTTGGTTTTCTTTTAGATTTTTAAGACCAGACAAATATTAATATCTGAATATGTACTTGAGGGTTAGCTTGATATAGTGTTCAGTTGTTGTTGTTGTTGGCCACCTTTCTTCTGATTTTTTAAATTTCTTTTAAATATTTATAATCTACCCTTGTCCTCAAGAGGAACTAAATATTAGAACAGATAATATTAAAAACTTGAAAACAAACAAACAAACAGAAACCCAGCAGCTCTGTTTTTAGGAATTCCCTCTTAATCACTGAGGAAAAGAACCTAGTGAAGAGAAGTTCATGTGCGCAGGAGCGGCGCGGTTCGCGCCCTCGATCTCCACGGCGTTTTTTGCCCCCCTGGCCCCAGAAGGAGCAAGCAACTGGGGCCATGTGACTAGAGGCTCGGGCCGGCATCAATATAAGGAAGCGCCGTCCTGTGGTTTGCCTTCTTTCGCTTTTGGCACCCACCTGTCCACCCTCTTTCTAGTGTGTTTTAAAAGGGGTTGCCTTTTTTGGGGGCGGATAGAAATTTTTGACCTTGATCCTGATTAGCTTATGGATGGGGGGATTTTTTGCCTATCCCACACTGGAAAAGGGTTTGTTGGTATTTGAGGGTGGTTTATACTCGGTCACACTGGCGGGTAGTGCGGGAATAACTGGTTGTCTCGGTGTGTCACTTTTATAATTATGATAAAACCAACAGTATGTCGGTTATTACGGCTCAGCAGATCGTGTGATTACAGGGCCGGAAGCGGCTGATGCGCTGGGCCACTACCGAAACGAAAGTCATCAAATACAGTTGGCTCAAGGTTCGTGGTGTTTAATTGAGGCCTGACAAGTTCTTCCGGTCATTAAGACAGCTGGATCCTGGGGCCTGGGACTCGCCCACTATAAGGAGGCTGCGCTGGGCCACTTTCAGACCGAAAGTCATCAAATACAGTTGGCTCAAGGTTCGTGGTGTTTAATTGAGGCCTGACAAGTTCTTCCGGTCATTAAGACAGCTGGATCCTGGGGCCTGGGACTCGCCCACTGACTGATAAGGAGGCATTGGATGCCATGGGGTTATTTTCCCGCACTACCACAGGCCCCCTCAGTTTTGGAATTGGTTATTGGTTGAATTTGAATTGGTTTTAATAAAGTGTGGCCCATATTTAAATCCAAAGAACTGTTGTCTTGCATCTTCATTTCGGGGCATGGGGGAGCAAAGGACTTAGTGTCATTTGCAATCTGTGGGGGAAGAAAAGGTTGGACATGTTCACTGAAATGTGAACATGTACCTAAGTTCTTGCAGCACCAACTGGATGTTGCTTTAAGCATCATCAACTGGCCTCTAACTTATGATGACTATGAATGAGTGACTTCCAAAATGTCCTATGATTCAGTGGATGCTGATTGCCATGTTGTTTTTCCTAGAATGCCACCTTCGTTTGGGAGTTTTCTGAGGGTGAAAAAAAATTAAAAACAAAATGGCAGCCACCACCAACCAAATGAAGTTCTAAGGCCTCTGGTGAGCTTGTCCCAAAGTCAAAACAAATAGAGTCCAAATTATCAATCATAAAGCCATTGTGCAGAAAGTTATAAAACCAGCTGGAGTATCTTCCTTTTCTAAAAGGTAGTCAAGATTAAATAGGAACAGTTTCACTGAAATAAACTTTGAGTGGAAATGCTACAAAAAATAATAATAATCAGGTTTTATGTTCAGTTCCAGTGTGAAAAGAAATGCTATTCTCAAATTTTGAACTATACAGAAAGAATAGGATAACTAAAATTCAAGAACTTTTATCTAACCCATACTGTTTTCCTTCTTTTTATGAAAACACATTGCTCTTACTTTTTTTGTATTTTTTTTAAATAAGAATTTATTTCCCAAATCTAGGAAGGGTGCATACTGAAATTATACTTTTCTAGGAATCTACATTTTGTATTAGGGATCAGATCTGTCAAGACTGATTTTCCTCATGTTTCCTCCACTAAGTTCCTGTTCCAATTCCTTGAGAGGGGGGAGGGCATCACAGACACCCATGCACATTTTTGTAAATGTTTTCATTTCTGTGTGCCTTTTTTTAATTGTATGAATTTTTAGACTCATGCACACATTGAATGAAACACGTCCATGAACATTTTAGAAACATGCACATTTTTCTTTGCCATGTTTAAACATGTGCACAAGTTGCCAAGCTAAGAATGCAGTCTAAGTCCAGATTTCTGAAGCCAGATTGCACTCAGGTCCACACTCAGCTCTGTGGGGAACAGATGAATTTAATCTCAAGCAAACAAATACCCTCAACTTCATCTGTTCCTCACAGAAACCTATTCGGATCCTATTCACCTTTTGTGGGGAGCAGGCACATGATTTGGCAAAAGTTAAACATGTGAAACTTTTCTTGACATCAATGGGAGAACACAAGCAGTTCTTTGATTAAGCCAAAACCATGACAATTCAAGTGACAACTGAACTTGAAGAACCTGTCTGTATTTAAAAAAACAGCAACAACCCAAACCACTTATCTTCTGATATGTTTCTGTCACCCAAGGAACCTGTTCCCATCCAGATTAACCACAACCTCAAGACAGTGTTGTCTCTTTTTTGAAAACAAAACTCTGCACACGTCATTCAATAGCGAAAGAAAAAAAGGAAGTTCCTCCAATGGAGTGTGACAAACAGATGTCTTTCGGTCAGAAAGTAACTGACATGCACCAGTATATAAATCCATACGCAGACGATCATCCAGTCAAATCCATCAGGGCTGTAGCTGTAAAAGGCTGGCTTTCCCATGACAGAAATGCAAAAAATGCCTTGGCTATTCTTGTGGTCAACCAATTCAACTAAGATGAAAGATGAAGACCATGAGGTTACAGAAGGCAAGGATCATAAGAAGAAGCACAAAGCTTTGTAAGTACACTTGCCCTTCGGAAATGGGTTGTAGGCAACATAAATGTGCATCATCTTCAGGCTGAGGAATAACTTCTTATCAATACAGTTCATTGGCTGGAAAATATACTCTGTGAAGGATCTACCACTGCTAAGCTTAAGGCAACCTTAAAACATTGATTCTTAAGGCTAGGCAGAGTTACAAAATTGTGGAGTTTATGGACTTTGAAAAGCACTGTAACATGCTTGTCTGGATACTTTGAACTAACAGCCATTGAAATTATTTATGGATAAATATGCCTAGGTTGTAATGCTGGAAGTGGTTGAGTGTGTGCCTCACATGCTATAGTAGATGTGTTAGTCTTGAAGGTGACATGGGACCCTTGGTTGATCTTGCTGCTACAGATGGATTTGGTTACCTCTTTGGATATTGTTTCATGTGTCTATCGATGGGGGGATTTAAAATAGTTTTTCACAAGCCTGATAAATGAATATATGATGCTTTCTGAGAGGATTAGTGCATTCTTCTCCCTCCCTGACTTATGAGCAGAGCAGTGTATGAATGTGCTGCCTCAACCAAATCGCAGAGTGAAGAAGACCCTGGTTCCCTCGGTTGTACTGAATTGCAGTCTGGAATAGCTTAAATTTGTGTCGTGAAGATTACTTTGACAGATATTGGAAAACATTTTTAGAATGTGAATGTATCTCCAGGGCATCTAAGGCAGAATGTATTAAATCATCTTGCATAGGGAATGAGGCACTCTCCATTCTGGGTTTCACAAAAAGTATTCTAAGATGTAGATGTGGTTGCCTTTTTTAGCATATGACGTGCATGTCTATGGATGGTCGTAAGAGTAAAACATGTCTCTCTTAGTCATCTTCACCGTAAATATATATGGCTGGGATATACTGTATGTCTTTTGCTGGCATACCTCTACAAAAGGTGATGTACACAAATGGTACTATACAGCTATGTCAAACAAATTGCTAAATGCTATTTTATCCTGGTTTCAGAGGTGTAGAACTGAAAAACTATTTGATGTCACTGGTGCCACACATGGAATCAGCTGAAATAAAATATTCCATCTCCAAAGATGTAATGTAAGTATTACATAATATTGTGATATAAGAATACAGAAACTTATGGATTATTGCTCCTCCCTTACCTGTAGGAAAGGAGATTTTTACATGGAACACATTGTTCCATGTGAACACACATGAGGATTGGAATTTCTATTCATACTGTTATGCTTAAGTAAACCCTGTTAAATTAATCAAATTCATCTTTTGGTGCAAAGAGGAAGCTCTAGGAAAGCCATATCAGTAAGATTGAAAAGCTATTCTCTTAAGAAAGCTGGATCGCTCAGGGGTTTGGAGCTTGATTTCCCAATTGGGCTTCCGTGACAGGGGCTGGAGTCAAATGATCCATAGGATCCTTTCAGCTTTGCAGTTCTAAGATTATTATAAGATGTAAGGTCAAGCCAATATTAAATGCTATACCTTCATTGATGTCAGAATGGTTTCTTCTTCCTTAATTAACTCCATTGTGAGGACCTTGTCCTGGATTTAAAGTAAGTCCTTTCACCACCACCCCTGTAATACTGAAAGAAAGAAAGAATCTCTCCCCTGTACACCTGGGCTGTAAATAACAATAAGGAAAATAAGCCACTGTTGCCATCAGTGACAGACTCTTCTGTGGTCATTTCCAACACTGGACATTTTATATTCATACTGTATTTATATGTATATGTATATGTATATTTTGAGGATCATCAACCTCCACACAAAGCACCACATGCTGTGAACTCAGATTCCCCCTTCCACTTCGTTTGATGGGATGATGATGGGACTGACGTCACTTCAAGTGACACACTTTGACATCATGTCTAGCTACACCCACAGTCAAATACTCTGTGTTAAAGCTGTACAGTAGTAAGTCTGCTATAGGAAAAATTGTTCTAGGTTCCCCCCCTTTTTTTCTTTAAGTGTACATGCTCAGCAGCTTTGCTGGTTTTGGTGTTCTGGAAGCTGTGATTAAATACTGTAATTTCTTCTATCTTTGAATAAAATATTGATGTCATGTTTGACCAGGCAGCAGCAGCAGTTCAACAGCCAGAAATTCAATACTTTGCTGCTTTCCTGTCTGTCGTGTAGCTTTTAAAGGTATCAGAAACAGAAAATTAAAAGATTGATATTATGTCATTTCTAACTTATTTAATCAGGGCATCCTGAGAGACGAGTAGAGAAAAGAGATACAAGAGATGGTTTCACCATCCAAACTCCTAACACTGCACTGTGTAACCTGGGGAATTAAAAATGTCAACGGATGTACATTTTTCCATCATTCCAGTTTTGTGGAAGGGTCTTTCCCACTCCGGACAATCTGTCACCTACTGCTAGACATGATACGGATCATTTCAGCACATTAATTCATTCAAACTTCATATCGTTATGAGTCAGAGAACAGAATCACTTTCCAGATAAGGCAGCAGATCTTCAGAGCCTAGTCATACTTCATAGGAAGTCAGAAAAGGTAGTCAATACCGTTCTAGTACATATTGGCCAAAGAGTCTGAATAAATAGTTCCTCTTATCTGGTTTCCCTTTTATGCATAACTGTGCTCATTTGATTCACCTCAGTTCATAATATTTCTGTGTCATGAGGATGACACTGCAATAAATGGACTGTGGAATTAGAACAATCCAGTTATGAGTTCAAATCCTCACTCAGCCATGGAACTTAGCAGAGTAAAACAGAGTCAATAGTGAGTATAGACCAATGCCAAAGGACAAAATAATAATAATCTTAGCACTGCAGAGTCAGAAGGGACCCTATGGATTGTCAAGTCGAGCCCTTGTCAAGGAGCTTCAGTAGGAAGATGACACTTCAGTTGAGATGAAGAGTTTCATTGCTTTCCTCATGCCTGCTAAGTCTCTGATTTTAAAAAAATCCTCCTCCTCCAGATAGTCTTGGTCCTGTGGCTTCCAACATCTTGTTTCATTGTCTCCTCCTTTTTTTAAGGAGACCCAGGAAAGAATCTGTTACTCACCAAAAGAGATAATAGCTAGCTAAATAGACCAATGGTCTGATAGGCAGCTTCACCTAATTTTTCTTAAAGAAAAGGTGGAATACACTTACAAGGGAAGGAAGAAGGTGGTAAGGTAGTAGTGCTGTGCACTCAATTTAAACAATATATTAATTCTGAATTCAGCCTACCTAATTTGAATCAATCTCTATGAAGTCTCATTTTAACCAGAATGGCCCAGATTCAGTTCTGGAAGAAAACAAAGCAAATTCACAAATAGTTTCTGATTTCAGAAGACACATTGAATTGGATAGAGCACCCTACAGGCAACTAGGGTTTTCAAAGCAAAGTTTAAAGGTGTCTGATATACTGGAAATTAGCGATCTGAATTTTGTCAGACTCTTTAAGGTCTATCACCTCTTCTGATTTCATATACATCAGTGCTTTTTTTTAAGTTGGCCATTTTGGTTTTCCAATGCAGGGGCTTTACAATTCTACACATTTATTTGGATCTGAGCCACAAATCTAATCATGGAGGCACAAATTTCTCCAGACCAGCTAGAGATATATTCTGCAACCCCAAAATGGCCTACAAATCAAATTGGGGGATCCATGTGCAGCCTTAGGTAAACAGAGATTAGACTGGCAGAGAGGGAGGTGGACAGAAGGAAAAATAGATTTTTTTAAATGCTCAGATTATTTTGATATTTTGTGTTCCATATACATGGAACTAAATCCAACTATTGTTCCTAAACAGGGTTGATGTAATTACTGAAACTTGCATAAGTGTTGAATTGACAAGTGCCTTTCATTCAGGTAGTGCAGCTGGGATTAACAACTGTATTTAGCCCATGATTCATACGCAGGCATCAATACATTTGGGGTGGGGGTGGAATTCTTCCCTCCCTTTGAAGAAATAAAAAACAATTGAGCAATCACTTTTTCCAACCCACTGTAATATACTGCAGCTCAGTCATTTCTGTTGTTGTTTCAGGCTTCATGAAGAAGAAGTTATACAGTGGTCCCAGTCTCTAGAAAAGCTTCTGGCAACACAGTGTAAGTACTTGACTATGGCAGTATCATGAGTTGGAGTACAAAATCTTGAAAGGAGAATCTTGAACAAAACAGTAGAACTGTCACTTTCAGAAGAGATAATTTGGATAAGTAGCATCTTTCCTGGCAGCCACACCATTATTCTGAAACTCAAAGAGTAAACCAAATATCCTGCGCAGTGCATATTTAAAGCAGGGATGGTGCGTGTGCAGCCCTCCAGATGTTTCTACACGCCTGTCCTCTCTCATCATCAGCTATGATGGCTGCAGTCCAATAACATCAGGAGGGCCATTTGCCATCAGTACAGTGAAGGATGCCTTCTAAACTGTATCCTAATCTTGGAGATTAGAGATGGCACAAACTGACGGTTTGGCGGTTCGTGCCAGTTAATTTTTTGGCTGAACAGATGTTTGGCAGTTCCCAGCCCCACCTCCACTGGCAGGTGCCCACTCAGCTTTCTGGCACTTTTATATTCAGTCAGAAAATACCTTCTCTGAAGTTCAGGATGCCTATTTATTACTGTAAAATACTGGAGAGGGATTCATCCCATCAAGTTTCAATCTCCTGCCTTTGATCCTTGGCTGGATTTTTGTGAAGATCCGTTCATGTTTTTTTGTATATCAGATTTTTATTCAATCACTGATACAACTGCAGCCTAGTGAAACACCATCAGTTTAAAACAACCAAACAAACAAAAGCTGGAGAAGGATTCATCACATCCGGTTTCATCTCCTGTCTGATCAGTGATTTCATTTTGTTGATTAACACAACAGGTGATTCTTGCGCCAGTCTGGTGGTGTCATGATGGTATGATTTAGAGAAGTCTAGGGTCATATTCAGCAGAATGAGTAGAAGGACCTCCAAACAAGATAGACTTGGCATTCTACATTTGGACATAAGAAAATAATGCACAGTATCATCCAAATTTGGGATGGGTCAGCTTTAGCCCTTCAAATGCTTTAGCCCATAGTTTCTGCTGCCTTAGCTTTTTCTTCAAGGATTTGAAATCCAGATCTTCTGGAGTGCTGAGCGTTACCCACCCTGATTTAACAAGCTCCAGCTCTAAAATGATCCTTCAGCGGAAACTATTCCTATAGCATATGGGGTGAATATGATGTGTGGTTACCTTATTTTGACTGCCTTGAATTCCTCGGGCAAAAAAAAAAAGATATTAAAAACATTTTAAAGAAAACCTTGTATTAAAATGTGTAAGTTTTAACAAGCCCCACAAAACTGAGCAATGAATTGATCTGGTGGGCCTTCCTGGAGGGGGAGAAAGAGGGTATTCTATAACCATAATGTCCCTGCTAGCGAAGTCCAGTCCCAGTATCATGAGACCTCAGCAACTGGTAAGTTACTGCTTTGAACAGCACATGGTAACTGATTCAACTGTAGTGCCTTTCTTTTTTTTTTATTTTGACTTTCCTCATGTAGGGCAAGGGCTAAAATATTTTCTTTCCATTGGCTTTTTTATTCCAGATGGTAGAGATGCTTTCAAAGAATTTCTGAAATCCGAATTCAGTGATGAAAACATTGAATTTTGGCTGGCTTGTGAGGATTACAAGAAAACCCAGGCCGATCATTTACATGGCAAAGCAGAGAAGATTTACAAGGAGTTTGTTCAGTCAGATGCTGAAAAGCAAGTGAGTTGTAAATTCTTCAGGCAACCTCAGGCTGCTATGGGTTTTTTGAGCTAGTAGAATCAGTTTCATATTAGGAATGTGTTTATTTAAAAGCACCCAAACTTATTTTTATAGCTTTGTAGTGTTTCTACTGCTCCCCTCCTGAATCATAAGATGATATGGTTTCTGATTAAGGACTATGCCACATAATTACCCACTATTTCATTGATCCTCATTTTGGTAGATTGTCCAATTTTGTTTTGCTTGGTATTCATCGCATGTAAAATCTACTTCATTGAGGAACTCAGCCAGCATTTTCAAGCATCTGTTCAGAGTGCTGACTTTGCTCCTTCTCCCCCTTCCATGTGCTTCCAGAGCTGACACTCAGATGGCTTTTGGAACAGTGACTGGTAGCTGTCAAGTGAATCTCAATGTTATTGCCAATCATTGACTAGACATATTGGATAATCCCTTTTCCGCTTTCTGTTGGGTGGGAGGAGGCAGAACAAGCTGATTCTCCATGGGCAAGTCTATGCCTATAAGCCAAATTTTCAACTCCTGACTCACATGGAAAGTGTACATGGATAACAGATCCACAGCTCTCCCTCCTTAGACTCTTCACCCAGCACATACGGTACAATGATGAAACCAGAGATGGAGTGGGGAGAGTTAAACTGCTCTCTACTCCAGTTCAAAACATGTAAGAGAAGGTCATGCATCTCCAAACAATCAGGACAATGCAGTTGATATGTACCAAGGGCAGCTTCATCAGCCATAACATCTCTTCAGTATGGTCCTCATGTGACCATAGGGGGCCTACCCAAGTACAGCAATGAATTGAGCAACCAATTTGAGATGCCAAAATTCCAGTGGGATCTCTCTCACCTATGTACATGTCTTTGTTGGAATGGGGCAGAGAGGGGGGTACATTGCTTTCCATATCTGCCTATGGGAGATGAATAAAAATGGAGAAATATTTGTTCTTTCATATTTGTTGGGATCTCTGGAGTTGACAAATATGAAGGGACAAATATTAAACGAATCAGTGATTTTTAACCAATATCGCAATTCAGTTTTTTATTCATCCCCATATCAGAAGTATTATTCTGTATCTAAAATCCTGTTGTGCATGATTGCTGTACAGCAGCAATCATGTCTTAAGCAGTCACAAATCACCATTGATGAAAACCTTCCTTTGGTTATTTCAAAGAGGACATGACTTTGTCACATTGTAGACAAGTCACATGCACCTCAACATCTCCTTTAAGCAGTGGCAATTCGCTGCCAATGATTATGCAATCCCTGTTGTACATATGGAGCTGCAGAACAGGATTTCTACCTGTGCCTCGGTATGTGTACAGTGAAATAATACAGAAATTTAGGATTGGGGAAGCAGCAAAAAAAAGAAACAATAAAGTGGAGCCAACCATGGTTTCCTTTACATTAACAGTTATATGTGGCAAGTGTGCTTGCCACCTGAAGTGTGAAGTGATGGTATTCTTGGAAGATACATATGTTCCATAGAGTTCCTTAAAATGAATGGGAAAAATGGCAAGACTTAAGAACTCTATCAGACATACAGTAGTACCAGTTGCTTAGCGGTGGTTAAAATGGAATGGAAGCCTCTTAAAGCATGGGGATGTCAATGAGATGTATTTTTTAAAACTCCTAAAGCCCCTTTTCCCCATTCCCTAGGTAAACATTGACTTTCACACAAGAAAAAACCTAGCTGAGAAGGCTCAAGACCCAACACCTTCCAGCTTTGATGAGGCCCAGAGACTTGTGTATGTGCTGATGGAAAGAGACTCATACCCAAGATTCCTAAAATCCAGATTCTACCATGATCTGCTAAGTAAAGGTGAATGCAGCGGTCTCAAGTGAAGATGCCAAAGAGAATCAAGAATGGCTCGGAATCTTCATTGGCACTAAAGGCAGTTCAAGTGTGGCTGGGTATCAGCACAGGAAATGGGACAGTTGGGACTGGAGAACAGAGGGGAAGTTGGAAAAATCAGGCCATGGTCTTGTCTGCCTGAGATACCCTGTGGAGGGAAAATACATACTGCATGTCTTTAGGCACCTGTAAGCTAAAGATTGCTGCCATCATTATGATCTCTTCCCTCTCAACTTGTCTTGACATTCACATTTGGCAAAGGTGCTGCCATATGGGAAGGATGAAAACTCTTAATGCTGTTGCTGAAAGAAGATTGTGTGTACCAGTGAATATCAACAGTATTTCTTTCTTTCTATCACAGACTGTAAAAGCAAGGAGCTTGTTTACTATCTAATAGGTTGCAATACAAAGGTAGTAAAAAATAACAATTGTATACTGTCAATTCTGACTTGTGGCAGACCTTTCTAGGGTTTTCTAGATAGATAATGCATTGAAGTGGTTTACCATTCCCTTTTCCTGAGGGCATTCTACAGCTTGCCCATGGCTACACAGGCTGGCTCTTCTGCTAGGAGGCACAGTGGGGATTCAAACTGCCAACCTCTGGCTCCACAGCTAGATGAACTTTCCAGCCAGTTCACATAGCTAGTAGATTGTGTTCAATTTAGTGGGCTATATAATGTGTGCACCCAGTGATAGCTTATGATCAGGGCAGAGGACAATCCTTGAAAAAATTCTGGAGTGAAGCATTCTTCTGTCATGGTCCATGATCTGCCCACACCTGCATTCAATACATGCTTATTAAATAGTGCTACTGTGGTTTTAAGAGGCTGTATCTTAAGAATAGAACCAAGGCATGTGTTACATACAGCACTGATGTTACCTGTCTGTCATGGGTTTGGAGGGAAAGTTCCATCCTATGGGGAGTGGAAGGCGGGCCATCAGGAGGAGGGGCTGTACTGTATATATAGGTGAAGCCTGTGTGGTGAAGTTCAGCAGACTCTGGGGGAAGAAGCAGCAGCTGGGAAGAAGAAGCTGGTGTGGGAGTCTGTGTGTCAGACAGGGTACTACTGTGTGTCAGAAGTACCAACCTGATAGGTTCAGGTGTCTGTTGGTTAGCCAGAACTGATAGGTTCAGGGTCTGTGCTTCAAGTTAAGGGTTCTGTGTGAACTAAACTGTGTGTATGTATGAGTGAAACTAAGCCACGTTACTAAATCTTATTCACCTGATCATTTTATTTTCCCTGTGTGTGATTTAAATAAACCTTGTTCTTTTATTTGTTTAAAAATCCATCCCTGGTCTGTGTGACTTCTTATAGGGAATGGTTGGTGGCAGCTTAGTTAACGTGTGGCAGATCCCAGTAGGTCTGGGTTTGTCACAGCATGTTCAAATCTACCTTCAGAACATGATTCAGGTTCCCATTATTGTAGCACTGAGATGTGACCAGGCTATAAAAAGCTTCTTGTCAGTTGCTGGATTCTGATCTTGAAGATATTTGACTTCTCCAAGATAGACAAGAGCGTATGAGGAGCTTTGCTCCTGATGCTGAGCTACAGATGCTTCTCACTCAGCCATGACTTACTTGGTATTTTTAACATTGACTGAACGTCTGTAGCTATACTTTCCACCTTCTGGAGGAGGGAAACTGGATTTGTTTATCATCTGCCCCCATGAGGCTTCCTGCGTTTTGGAGGAAATTATGAGGAAGTAATAGTGTTAGAGCTTTGAATCGATCTTAATTCTCAGAAGATTGTTTACCTCAAAATAAGGTGGCAAGGTCTGTAGCACCAGGTAAGGATTACTTGGAGGAACTCCACCAGCACCACATTGGGCCTCTATGATCATTGCATGGAAGAATCCCTAAATTCATCAGGTCAGAGTTTCAGTTTAATACAAGAAGCAAAACTGACTGTTCACACTGACAGTCACTTTGAAGCTAAAACAAGTGAGTCTGAGGATGTAAAAAACTGCCTCCATCCTGTCCCTTCTTCCTAACACCTGTGCATCCCCAAAGCCTCTACACAGTTTCTGTATCCTTGGAACAATGTATGAGAGGGCATGGATGAGGACAATCACTCTGAACTGGGTAAACCTCCACCCAATTTTGGGAAAATTCCCCCCTCACAAGAGATTTTAGCTCCCATTCCTTTTTGTTCAAGAGGGCCCTCTGATCCTTTGGAGAGATGATGAAGTGTGGTGGCAAAAATATACATGTCTGCACGGAGACCTCTTTACATTTATTTATTTTAGGATTCAAAGCAGTATGTTTCAAAATCGCAAAGCCCATCAAGCAAAGTGGTGATTGCTGCTCCAAATATAAACCATCTGTGATAATTATGCTTTAAGAAATGTAGAGCTTTAGGAGACTGAGTATACTCTGTGTTTCTTTCAATCCCCCAAAATTAGAATCCTGTAAATAAAAGGTAGCAAGTTAATTATTCTATTTTAGTGGTTTGTGACATAATAATATTTAATTTATTCCAAATTGTAAATTAATTGCATTAAATAGCAACTATATAATAAATGTCTTCCATTTTTGTGACTGTTTTCTCCTTATCAGTAGCAAGTATTTTGAGGGGAGGTTTGAAGCACCTGACATCTGCTATGGTATAGTGGATAAAGTGTTGGTATAGGACTCAAAAGGCCTGGATTCAAATACCGTTCGGGGGATAGCACTGGTAAAATCACTCCTTAAATATTTCACATACCTTGAAACTCCTACAGGAGTTATCATATGTTGGAATTAACCACATATAACACATTAAAAGCACCTCCATGACCCTAAGTCTGGAAATGCTCCTTTTTGGTTTGCAATCTCTAGACTCCCATGACTAGAAGTAACATATAATTGTCACACCCTGCTTGAGAAAGTAACAAGGTTCGCCTAGAGTGGACGAGACACCCAGATAGGCGGGGTATAAATAAATAAATAAATAAATAAATAAATAAATAAATAAATAAATAAATAAATAAA